TCAGCAGCCCTGTGGAAGACACTGTTACTGTTGTTGCCATCACTGTAGTAACAACTAACAGCCATTGAAGAAATAATTTTGTGCAAAGAGCTTTTGTTGGCTACTTTGGTCCCAACAACTCCCTCATGAGGGAAATTCTTTTCTTTTCCTTACTTCATGGCAGTTGAGAGTTTGCCCAGTGTTTGAGAGCTTGGAAGGGACTGAAACCCAGGTGGTTAGGTGACTGGAACTTTTAATCATTTCTTCCTAAAAACAGAAATGAAGAAAATGGTGGCCTGATGTTATAAGAATGGACATTTCGCTGTGGGCTAGGATCTCTCAGCATTTCACACAGCTCATTATGGTGCAGACTAACAGGATCTAGTTTTACTGAGCTCTAGTTTTTTTATTTTATTGAGAAACAAATAGCAATGAGACAGTTTCAAAACAGGTTACTAGGACAGTTACAATAATTAATACATTGCATATTGTTGTCCTCATAGTAGTTATTCATAGCACAAGATGCAGACATGATATCCTGTCCAAACACTATTAGTACAAATATTTCTTCTCATTGAATTAAGAGAAAGTAGCTTTATATTTATCTTAACTATTCTGCATATACAGATACAAAATGGTCCTTCCTTTGTATCCCCCTTTTTTTGTTTAGTCCTGTCAGAGATGGGTATTCCATTGGCATCTAAATACTATAAGTGCATGAATTCAGCAAAACAATCCAACACAGTCCAGCAGTCTACAATAGTAGTGGGTTATCTGCAGAAATTGTTGACTTGAGCCTTTCACATGAGCTCTAGTTTTTGTGTGTTCAAGGAATACATAATAGATGACTGACTGTGTTGGCTGTTGGTCAGTTTCCAGGGATTCTTGAAAACAAAATTTCCACTGAGTTCAAGTTTTAAAAATGTTTCTGTTAGGCTTCTGCTGTCTCCCATCTTTGTGCCTGTTCCCCTTCTCCCCCCCCCACCCCCCTTAGGGACATTAGCTGCAGCAACCATTGTGTGTTATCTTTCTCTACACTTTGCCAAAGTACTTTGACAGTGTTTTAGACCAAGTCAGTGTGTCTAAAAAAGCCAACCGTTCAAAGGGTAAACAGGTGCTATTACCGTTTTTAACCATTGCATTTAGGTTCAAAAAGATAAGGCAAGATTATTAGTAAGGCTAGTTATTACAAACAAAAGGCTAAGAACAACATTGAAATATTTCAAATGAGGACTCACTTTAAAAGAATTACTCTGGAGTAAAAATTTGAGGAGTTGCTGACCTACATGGAGGCTGATTATTAAGTTTAGCAGTGATAATTAAATCAAATTAATGGGCTTTATATAATCATTAGAGCCACATTAGAGAAATATCACATTATGGGAGAAATCTCCATATGTCAAAATAACAATGGAGAGGGCAACTGGCAAATAGATGACAATGAAATTATATGTAATGAATTAATACATTTTTCTATGTGAATGAAATATATTTTATTTAATAATCACCATGTTAAAATTATTTTGAAAATGAGATGATATCTTCATTTTCCCTAGTGCATTTCATACTTACAGTTGTAGAATTTGAAGAGCATGTCACCTGCGCCACTTTGTCTGGATTTAGCTTCCAGGCTCCAGGATTTCTTTTGAATCCACTGGCCGACACAATTGGTGACCTTCGTTAGCTAGAAAGCAGCTGTTTTTCTATTTTGATTTGGAGTTAGTGTTTTCCAAGTGTCAAGTACATGTAGAGAAATTTTTTCCATAGACTGATATTAAACATTTTATTTATATATTTTTTGTTTTTCATGGCTCATGGGTCTTTAGAAAAGTGATAGCCAACTGGAACATTCCCTGTAAATGCTTTTAGAGGAAAAAAAATCTCCCTTTGGTGCTCTTATGAATGATCAATATCATAGTCATTTATATTTGTGGATATGCTCAGAAACACTGACTGGGTTAAAATTACACTGTTTCTTTGAAAGTTTTTAAGTTTCTACCTAAACAGAAAGCTGGCGTTTTTAAATATTTTTAGGTTTGATTCCTTGTCTTGTCTGCTTAGATACATTGATAAAGTAGCCAGCTGATAACAGTTTAATGACAAATTTTTATTTCATGAATTCTATTTTTTAGCTTCTGGACAAATATAAAAATAATTTCCTTTCTTCTCTTGTTTTGCCTTTATTTTGTGCTCTTTGGGTTCTATGACTTAAATCTTGGTGCGTATTTGACCTCTGTTATGTTCAGTTATGTGTTCTGCCCAGCTCCCTGCAGCACAGCGCAAGCTCTGGGGCAGACCAAAGTGAAGGCAGAGGTCCTGTGGCCTTTAGTGGCAGACACACTGTAGAGACAGAGGGTGGAGTAGGCACCCTGGGCCCGAGGGATGCAGCGGTGGTGGGGGTGGGGTGGGGACGGTACTGAGCAACTGTGGCCTGCAGCCTGGAGAACACAGTCACGATGAAATTAAGAAACCGAGCAGGTGGGAGGGAAACATTGTAAGCTCTGCCACTTTTTAAAGAGTTCCAAGTGAGGTAAAATTGTCTGATATTTTGGGGAACAGTGAATCTAGATGGGATATTCTGTCTCTAAACCTGAAGTTCTCAAGAGAATTATAGTTTTTTCACAGAGCTGTGTGATTTGCGGTAGCAGAGAAATTCCCCTGGCTGTCCTTGCGAAAGAGAGTTGGAGTAGCCATTCCCTTGCTCTTTGTGTTTGCCTCTGTGTAATGGCACACAGGAAAGTACTTTTTAATATACTTTTTTAGCCAAAGCCGATCGATCTTGAACTTAGGATTCCCCTGCCTCAGCCTCCCAAGTGCTGGAAACACAAATGTGTGCCACCATGCCCAGCCTGAGTAATGTTCTAAATATATTGTTTTCGGCCCACAGGAACATTAAACACAACCTATTTTACATCAAATGGAAGTGAACCTTTGGTAACCGATGGTGAAGTTCAAGTGCCTGATATTATTCTCATAAATACAGTTTACAACGCGAGTACAGTGACACCTTCTACTGCACAACCCACTCTACACCTTCCAACTTGGAATGTGGAAGCTCCTGTCTTGGAGGACCAAATTCACAGGAATATAAGTAAGTCTGAGATGCTAAGTGAAAGTGGCCTTTAATGTCTGTTGAGCCCACAGGTAGGTTTTTAATTGCTGCAACCAGTGCTCTGAACTCCCTATGATACATGCAGAGCTCCACTCCTCTGGGAAGCTTAGCCAAAGACGCTAGTCTTACCCATGGGGTGCCAGCAGTTCTGCTGTCCAGACAGAGACTGGCTAAGAAACCAGAACATGCCAAAGCCGTCAACATTCTGCTATGTAAAGATTGTGCTGCTTGCCTAATATGAACGTCTGTGCTAGTGTTTTAAAGTTATGTACTTGAAGATGGTTAAGTTAGCAAGTTAAGTTATTATGCTGTTGGTTCTTTACTGGAGGTCTGCATTACATTGTGGGTGGCAAGCGATTTAGTGAGCCCATGCCCCTTGCTGTTTTGGAGTTATTGATGTGCTCTTTGTAGCTGTTTCCCTTTTCTCCCTCTTTAATTGACTGTGAAACTTAGTTTACATGTTGGTGACTAAAAGTTCCCCCTTGAGAAAAAGGACCTGTACAAAGCTTTTCAGCATGAGGACAAATGGAAGAATTTGTTAGTCACAGCAGAAAGGGAACTGGGAGACAATTTCCCGTGGGTGATAGACAGTGATATCATGGCAGACAACGTAGTCTGGAATGTGACTCTGTCCTTTGCTACCCCTCAGATCTTGAGTAAAATCACAGAACTTCTAGACTGCTTGGTGGGAGCAGATTTGCATGGAGAGTGCCAAGAACTGTGGCTCTCATCCAAACATGAAAACCTGATAAAAACTGAGACCTTTTCCCACAGTTGTTTTGCCTCTTGCTTGACACTTACCAGGATGATAAGGTTATATGGCTGGAAACTACACAGAGCCCATCCATCCATGGTCATTTTCTTTTCTTTCTTGTTCTTGAAATGCACACTGGGATAGACATCTTAGGTCCGGGACAGAATATTTATTTTTAGTCTAAGCCAGGAAGGAAAAGATTAAATTGCCCTTTAGCTATTGCAGTGTATGTTTGCTAGTGTTTGAGGAGAAGCAGGATTATTCTCTTGCTCCAGACCCCAAAAGTCAGACCATCTGAGGGCCGTTGTTTCACTGAGCACTCTGCATTAACTATTTCTGATGCTTAGCGCTCACCAGTGATTTCTAGGGAGACCAGTTCTTTATCTGACAGCAGTGTTGCAAATCAGAATTAGGCCAGGTTAAATTTATTTTCTTCAAGAGTTTAATTTTGATGTTTTATATTTTGGTCATGTGTTTACCTCTTATTATTTGTATGTGTTTTCCATCAGAAGTGCAGAAATAATTTAAATTAAAACAGCCACATTAATGTGGTTGCAATTACAACAATTGTTGCTTTCTTTTACTAAGTGGATTTGCCTGTGGCTTGAAAGTTCCACCATTTTTAAAGACTCAAGTAAGATCAACAAACATACAGACCAAAGAGTAAAGAAGCACGGTGGTTGTTCCTCAGTTTGGAAATTTGGTAGAAGTCTGCTTGGCTCATTTTTTCTTTCTGGGGCTGGAGTACTGCTTCAGAAGATATATTTATTATTTAGCATTGACTTTTGGTATCTATCTGCATAGACTCACTTTACTGTCCACATAACTTATTGCAAGAAATTTGATAACTTTTCATACATTTTACTAACAGCACTAGCCTGTGATAATAGAGCTTTTGATAGTTTTTGGGACTTGTCTGAATATTTTCCTTGTGATTCTCATACCTAAGTGATGAGATTCTCAGGACAGGCAATCTCTCACCACTGTTCAAGGTGCGAAGCTGAGTTGACACAAGTAGTTAATAGCTTGCTTAGTAGTTGGTGCACAGGGCATTGGGTTTCAGATCTTGACATTTCTTTTTCTTTATCTTTTGTTTTTGGTCTTTTATCAAACTCAAGACCTCATGCTTGCCAGGAAGGTACTGCACTGTTGAGCTGTATGCTGGCACTAGTTTTCAGATCTTGAGACGCCTTTCTTAGTGCTTTTTAAGTGTTTACTTCTTTACATATTTTTTAGAGCCAGGCAATAGAGTTTATTCAGTACAAGAGAACAAATTACATATAAGCACAACATAGATAAATCTCAATCTTTTATTGAGACCCTGCAGACTCTTTTTATACAGATGGGACTTGTTGTGTGCCAACTGTTTTCAGCCTCCCAAGAGCTAGGATTACAGGTGTGTGCCACCATGCCCAGTCTCAGTTGCCCTCTCAGAGCCCGGGGCCATAACAACACTCTGGGGATAGAACCCCTGGTAGCTCTGCCTGATTAAGCAGGTGCTTTAATTTGCTAAGCTTTCTGACCTTCCCTATATCACAAAAACTTTATGCCATGAAAAGATGGTAAACCCAAAAGTTCATGCAATAAATGCTTCCATTTAGATGCGGCTGTAGGACACGAAAATTAATATTAGTCACTCAGATTCCTTTCATACATTATGACATTCTCTCAGTGCTTCTATTTCCCCACCATATTTCTTTTAAACTTTGTTTCTATTACACATATGATGTAAATTAGTAAAATAAAAGTTATGAACCTAGAAAAGCTGCGTGTTGAGGTGCATGCTTGCAGTGCTGCTGAACACAAAAGAATAACTGAAAGACTACTGTTGTATACTTCTTATTCTCCTGTGTTTAATTGTTTGCCCTATTTGGTGGATTCTTTCCATTCTCATTCATGGGGCTGTGATCCATTTGCTCTCTAGAACATCATTTGGTAGTCTGTGTAGGCTTGGCTTTGTCATTATGAATTTTTTAGTTGTTATTTGTCATGGAAGTATTTCACTTCTCCATTATACTTGAAAGAGAGTTTTGCAGGATATATCAGTCTGGGTTGGAATTTGTTTTCTTGCAAGACTTGAAGTACTTTGCTCCATGCTCTTCTTGACTTGATGGTTTGTGAAGAGAAATCTGCTGTTATTCCGATCAGTTTTCCTTTAAATGTGATCTGTTTCTTTCCTTTAGCATCTTTTAGTATACTGTTCCTATGCTGAATTTCTGGGATCTTGATTATTATATGTCTGTGTGTCGTTTTAATTGGATTGATGTTATGTGGAGTTCTCTATGCTTCGGTTACTGAATGTCAGATTGTTGCCCCATATTTGGGACGTTTTCTGCTATTACTTCTGCCCATATTATTTTTATATCACTTGTATTGACTCCTTCCTTCTCATTTATGCCTATTAGTCTCACATTGTTCATCTTTGCATTGTCTTGTAGGTATTGAATCATTTTTTTTCCTGCATCCTAGTTGTTTTAAAGAGATCTTTTCTTACTTTTTCACTAGCTGCAATGGTGTCTTTCAGGTCAGAAAGTCTATTTTCACTTTCACACAAACGGTTTTGCCAGCTTGTGATTGAGATTTTCACTTCCTGTATATCACTTTGAACCTGTTTCATAGATTCTATTTCTTTCCTAGATTGTTTATTCAGGGGTTCCATCATTTTTATTTTCTGCTCTATTTTTCTTTATCAATGTATTCTTTAGAAGCACTTAGTACTTCTTTGATTATAGTTACCACTACATTTTTTAGTTCCGAAATTATTTCTGATCTGATTTCTTCTATACCTTTGTGCAGTTGATTCTTTACTGTCAATGCTATTATTTCAGAGATATCTGGCGTGTGATTTCCATTTTCCTCAGTGCTAGTGTCTTCTGCAGTTGTACTGGGTGGACTGGGGGTCTGAGACTGCATTTTGTTCCTTCTCTTTGTCATTTTGTATACCACTGTCTTCTGACCTTTGGTGTAGAGCTTAGATAGAGTTATTACCTTAGCACCAGGTTCGGATCTACAAAGTTTAGATTCCTCCCGGTGGGTGTTGTTTGGATCTGGCTGCTGTGCTCCACTTCTTTCTGCCGCAGCCGATAGAGTTGAACCCTTTGTGTCTCGCTGGCAAGCTGTTCTGCTCCTGAATCAGCTGGGTGGGTCTTGCCTCTAGCCTCTTTGCAGGGAGTTCTGCTGCAGGGTGCTTTGCTGGGCCTGTACACTGGATTGAATGAGGATCCGCGTGCCCTGGGTGGTCTCACTCACATGCTGGGCCTGTGCTCTGGTCCTATTCCAGTTCCTGCAGCCCTGGGTTGTCTCACTCACTTGCTGGGCCTGGGCCTGTGCTCTCATGAAATTCTTAAGTTGTTCTTTGTCATGGAAGTATTTCACTTCTCC